ACTAAGTTTGCAAGGGCTCAGCAATTTGTGAGCTGTGGTTATAATGACTAGTTTCTGAGTGTTGCAAACTGCAAAGACATGAAATATTTATTTGCATTCCAGATGTTACTCCTCAGGCTAGGCTTTTGCCTGAGAGTTATGTGCAGCAGTCTCCGCAGAGCTATAACATCCCCATGAAGAGGTGATGTTCCGAAATACCGAGTGTAAAGGTGCCGGCCACGTACACGTTATCAGAACTCATCTCGCACATCTGGCCTAAAAAGAGTAGGCACTATCAGCCTTGATATTCTTTTCTCTGTTTGTCAAGACCATATGCCTTTGCTGAGGGTCCAGTCATGCAAACAAATATATCAAGGTGCCATCCCTTGGTAAATTACCATCCGTCAGCTGGGCTGTGAAACTGTCTCTGTCCGTGTTTTAAGCTGACCTCCACTGCCGAGGAAGGCGTGCCAGTGCGTCAGCCTGCGATGTTTTACCTCTCAGTGATGGCAGACCAAGAGCATGTACACAGTGAGTTACTACAGCTGGGCAGACAGGCGGTGACTTGCAAACTAGAGTTTCTCTAGCCATGTCCTTTCCAATAGGGATCAAAATCCTTAAGAACTGGGTATATAAACTGCATTTCAAAGGGTTTTAGGTCCTCCTGTAATTCTGATAGTTAACTGATGCTTCATAAGCATCAGTTCAGTTACCTTTTCTTTTTTTGTTTTTCTGTTGTTGTTTTTTCCCTTGGGAGCTATAAAAATGGTGTCTGTTGTTGTACTACAAGTTCACTGAAAATCGTGATTTCCCTTTTCCCTAGTGTAACAGAAGGCAAATTCTGTCCCAGAGGCATTTTCATAGTCATTATTGTATTTAAATGTTGTTGTGACACCATATGTCTTCTCATATTTGATGTGTGCAAACACAAGAGCGAGAGTCCCTGTCTGTGAAGGCTTATATAATCTAAATACGTCTGATCCTTGCTCTTTGCGTAGCAGACTACTGTGATAGATTGTAAAGCATTTATCTTCAGCTAAGATAGCAATGTGCAGCTGAAACTTACTTGAAACTTTGCCAGAGAAACCTAAGCAGATACATTCCAATTGTTTATTTCAAACCCCATAATTACTTTTCTGGATGAAGTTTTGAGTGCATATGCCAATAGAAGTGGTTGTACGTGAGAACAGATAAAAAGAATGTCAGAGTGCTGCAGATATCTGCAACTTATGCAGATCTACTACTAGTATTAACATAATATTTGCATGCGTGGGGGAAAATTGCTGGAGCACTGACATTAGTGAACATCGTAAGTAGCAAATATTAAAGAAAAACTGCTACCAAAAATACTTATAGGTCAATTGGAATTTTTACTGCTTAGCACATGCAGTGGTTGCTGAATATCATTTCAGAGTCAAAAGCCCAAATAGACTTTGCCAGAATTTCAGAGTTTATTTAAAGGGGTCAATATTCAGTTTCTCCACTTCAAAAGCATCCATATAATCAATAGAATTCCCACCACACCCTTCTATCTCAGGAGAAGATCACTAATCTGAACTCTGCCAGTCCACAAACTTGAAAATTCGCCCTGAGAAAGCAGAAAATAAGAGACAGAATTAATACCAGAGGTGTCATCTGAGCAGAAATTGATACAGAGTTCCCAAAGCAAAAAAGTGTAGCTTAAGCCAACCTAAGCAAAAACTCTGGTGTAACACGTGGAAAGCGCTAAGGCTATTCTAGTCCTCTGCATGTGGGCGCTAATGGGGAGAAGGAGCTGTGGGGCAGCAGCAAGGTGAAGGCACAGCACGGTGACAAGGAACTTCTGCTCCCATGCACTCAGTTCTTTAGTGCTCGGGTATGTGAATTTGCTGTTAATTCAGTACTTGAAGTCCCAAAATGGCGACTTCCTTGTTATGTGAAAAACCTCACGTTCTACTACAAGGTAATGCTGTTTCTCCAAAACCAAAAGTAACTTGAATATTAATGTAGTATTTAACTACACGCATTTCAGTACGTATTTCCACTTCTCAGCTGCTAACTTCTCAGCATTATAAAATTATTACTGACAGTGGTTCAAACGCTCAGTTGCATATAGTTGAGAACAAGATGCTTTGTCCCCTGACTTTTTCCGCCTTGAACTGGTTTCTGATGAGGCAGCCTCCTTGAATGATAGCTGAAATATTTCTGTGCTCATCAACAATGGTATGATTTCCTGATTCCAAAACATCTCCTTCCCTACCTTCCCTCCCTCAACTCACTTAACCCCTTCCATTAGGATGGATATTTGATTAGTACACTTACCAGGTACTTGGGATAAAGTATAGCCTTATGCTGTTGGGGCTGTTTCTCTAATGAAGAGAAAAACATATGTGTGTTCCAGCTAATAGTCAGCATGCAGTTATAACAGAGGTTCAGGGCTCTCTGCGTGGCCAGGAAATGGGATCTGATTCCTTGTTGACAGTAGGTGATGCTGTACATAAAATTTCAGCAAGGTGAAACAATATCTTAGTTTACAGTTGTATTTTCCTTGAGCAAGGCTGTTTTGGGAGCAGTGCACCTTCACAGTGGCCTGTTCAGCGGCATGATGCTGAGGGAGTGAAAAATGAGTGCTTCCTCTCCACTTGACTCTGCAAGAAGCTCTAATCCCTCATTGGCATCCAGGAACTCAAGGGATGAAGTATCATCCAGTTGCAGCACAGCAAAGCCCAGAGTAGTTGTTGGTAGGTTTCAGCCTCCTGACATCAGTATGTCTTAGCTAAAATCTCTCCCTCTGTGACATATATAGCCCCTGCACAGCCATGCCACGTGGCTGAGCGTCTGTGTTGATTTGAAACCTTGTTCAGTATCTCTTGCATACAGTTGGCAGTGGACCTGGTGCCTGAGTAGTCCACCAGGCCCTGTAGAAGAAGCAGGGACAATCCTCTGCTAGTGAAATTAGTTTCAACCTGCAAAGTAAAAGGGGCTGACACTCGTCCCTGCATTTTTGGTCACATGTTGATCACAGCAAGGTTCTTCAAGCTTCAGCTCTGTTATGGCAGACTGTCACCTCCGGTGTAGGAAACCATCTTTCAGGTCATTAGAGCAGAGAACTAAGGTGCCCGTCCCCACTAAGGTGCAGAGCTCCAACAATACACAGGGCCTGGTGGGTACGCCATGTTGTTCTGCCTTACTGAGGGAAACTCATTTCTTTGTTGGAGCAAATTATCCTTCCCCCTTGCATATCAGTAACCTCCTTGTAGCAGAAGCAAGCCAAGAGGTGGAGCAGCATTTGGAAAATTATGCAGGGATTCATACAGCCTCTGTGCCACAGGGCTTGCACCTAGGGACTTGTGGATTTGTGGGCAGGGCTGCAAGATCTTCTCGCCAGCTGAGATTACAAGCAGCAGGGAGGCCAGAAATGTTCTCATCAGCATCCCTAAGCCAGGTCTGCCTTTTCTTAGGACTAAAAATACCACTGTTTATAACCTAAAGCATCTCTCCTGTGTGCTCAGCCTGTGTACTGGGAGCGAGGCTTTGGGCTGTAGGCATTGCTAGGGTAGATTAATTAGAAACACCTAGCTGTACCTAAGAGTCAGTTTATTTCTGCATAGAGATGGACTTTCTTCACTCAGGTTAATACCACTGCAAAATGGTCATACTGTCTGGATAAGCAACAACATGTAATGAGTAACAAATTCTGTCAGGGCAGAACTAAGCAAAACAGGAAAATGATCTGTATCTGGTCCTTCTTCCTTGTACATGAATTTCAGAGGGGGAGAGTATAAGTGCAAGCATGTGTAATGGACCATTATAGATCTTTTACGAGTAGTAGGACCTTCTGTATGCCAGAAACGCATGAAAATGCAGGACCTGGGTTCTGTGGCGGCCGTGCTGACAGCTACCGCACCAGGTTTTGACCTGCCAAAAGGCAATTCTAGGAAGAATCTCAGAGCTTCTCGACCACAAACCCCTAGACCTGTCCTGTTTCCTGACAAATCCCGTCACTGAAAGGTGGAGTGTCTGTCGTAGAAGACTCTTGGGGGAAATGGTGCTGTTAGCTTTTTCAGTAGCAAAATTCCTTTCAGTTTTTAAAAGTTAATGTCCAACTTTGTTGGCAACAGTCTAGTATGGGGTTGGAGCGGACACCCAGCAGAAGGCGGCTGAGGTACGAGTAGAGGGACAACTTTCGGAGGGATTTCAGTAGTGTGGCAACATTCCTAGTGTTTATACAGCTGAGCGAGCAGAAGCAACACTCAGCTCCGTTCCTTTGTAGCTACATTGACACCCCCGCAAAGTACGTCTTCAAAAAATACTTTATGTCGATACAGGAAGTTAAGTTTGAGATGTGTTTATTTTGGGAAGGTTTTTAATTTAGTTTAATCAGGATTACTCATAAATTATCTATTAATTACTGTGTGATATTTAGCTAGATCCTCTCAGCCATGTAGTCTATTTAGCTTTGCTGTGAATGCTAGCCATCTTAATTGTAGGATACTTTGTCAACATTTAATCAGTGGTACTTACTAATGTGGCATTGATGTGTTGGTAGCTGTCTCACTACTATCAATCATGTGTGAGCAGCAGAGAAGGCTGTGACACCATTGCTCTCTGTCACATTATCAAGCCCTTGGGTTTTCTGGTTAGGGATGATGCTCACTTTGCTGTAAGTGGGCACTCTATCTCTCCAGTTCAACCCAATTTTTGTCATTGTCAACTTGAATACACGTACTTGCAGCCTTCTAAGCCTTAATTCCATAACCGTGGAACAAAGGTTGCTGGTTTCCGAAGGCAAAACTGCTCCTTTGCTGCTCCAAAGGCCTCTTCTTCGCAGTGCTGCTCTCCTGGTAAGTCACAGAAAATGAATATTATGGACTGCAGCATGAGGTCTAATAGTAAATTCAGTGTATTGAGACAAAAGAAGTATAATGACCCTCCTTTTTTTTGACTTCTGCTAACCAGATGCATTGTTTAAGCATGCCCTAGATTAAAAGCTCATGGTTAATGATTGTATCACAAATGTTCTTTGTCTCACTTCCTTACAGTCTTTATGGCAGACACATGCAGGCAAACCCAGAACCTCCAAAGAAGAATAACGACAAGTCAAAGAAGATCAGTCGTAAACCTCTGACAGCCAAGAACAAATAAGTCACTGGCTTGAGCCTGTTTTTATGTCTTTTAAACTTTTTTGCATGTGCCTACAATATTCCTACGTAGCTCCTGTTACTCATATTATAAGAAAGCAGAGTCTATAGGTAAAAGCAATTTACCATGTATACTGCTTCATAAGATATTGCTTAAAGAATACAAAATTACATATTCTCCTAATTATGATCACATTCCTGTAGCCATTTAATAGATCACTGTCAAATACATTTTAGCTTTTCTATTTATATGTATATTAATATCCTCTGTTCACATGTATCACATGTTCTGTTAATATCTGATTTTTTTCTGCACCTATATTATACTACAGTAATTTTCATATAATATTGCAAATGATTTTAATAAAGGTCTGTATTTGTATCATGTTTTGCTTTCTTGAGTAGGACTCCTGAAAAGTGATTTTCTTGAGGAATGTATGTGTCCGATTTCCTGCCATGTGTTAATTTCTTTTGTAGGAGTCTGGTAGCATTTTATCTGATACAAGTTAGTTAAAATGTGAAACATGCTGTTCAAGGAGTGAAAAATTTTAATCAGTTTCCATTTCTTTTTCACGTTGCTGTTTTTTGCTTTTTTGCCCTGAAGGTTTTTTTTTTAAATTGGGGAGTAAGGGAAGGGAGAGAGGGAAAAAAAACTGTATCTGTGTAAAGAGCTGCCAACTGCCAGCCTCAATTTGGGGAAAGAGAACTTTCTTATTTGAAGAAAATGTTATTTCTGCCAATTTTTAAGTGATTTTTTAAAGCAGAAAACCCAAATAATATAATGTATCTATCATGAAAATGCTTGAATTGAAGAACTGTTCCAAATGGCTTTTGAAAATGCCACAGGTTCTATATTTATCTGTACAAAGCCTGTACCACAACCAAGCTCAGAAGCTGCAGTTGTGAGGCGATTAAACAGCCAATTGCATAACATCTGAAGTAGCTTCAGGTCTCATCAGTGGGAAAAAAAACAAAACTACATACATGCAGTGATTTCCAAATAGTTTCAGGCTTAGCAGGGCAAAAGTTAACCAGGAAACTCACGGAACAAGAACAGGTATTTACAACTCGATTGCTCGTGGCAGGACCTTCCCGCCCCCTGATAGCCGCTTTCATGAATTTCATACCTGAGCAACCTATTGCTGACTTTCTGATATCGTCCAGACAGCAAGCCAGGAAACATGCCCAGACTGCTGAAGCAGGTGTGCTGTGTTAAATAAAAGGTTTAAATATCTCCTGCCAGAAATGATACATTCTGTAAAAGCCCATTTTGTATCTAAAGACTTTCTTATTACCCCCAGCCTTCCCATTGGATTTAGGGTTACAGCGATACCTAAGCAATAAACGGTTGCCTCAGTCTGAGAATAAATGTATTGACATATATTTTGTAACAGATTTTTGAATTGGCAGGCAGGGATAGGAAGTTGGCGTCAAGCTTTAAACACATTTTTAAGTGGTCGTTAGTACTTCCGAAGAATGAGGCAGTCTTGATATGCTGACGGAAGACAGTAAAAATGTTAGACTTGTTAGCAACAGTCAATTCTAGCTATTACAAGCTCTAGCTAGGATTTTCCAAAGCTCTTAAGTGATCTAGGGGAACAGGTCCAATTGAAACAGGTCCACTGAGGTGCTAGGTCGGCTGCGTATTAAGAATTCACAGTGAAAAGTGGCCACTTGATAGAATGCATGCAGTTAAATCTAGATGTAGACGTTAAAATGTTAGGGTGTCTAATGACAATCATATTCACACTACAGAAAGCGCTGAAGAAATGCCAGAAGATTTCCAAACTAGTGTTGCAAATTCCTTTTGGAACAAAGTGAATAGCAAGGGCACATCTTTTGGGAAGGGGTAAAGAGGCTCTGAATGTTTCCTCCAGTGTCGGTACCTAGTGCTGTACATGGCCCCAGCCCTTTGGGGTGGTAACAATCCAGGGCTGCATACCCTGAGCAAGGCAGCACATCTGCCTCAACTAAAGCTGCTGCTGCTCTGAAATCACCGTGAGTCTGGCTGAGCAGGGCTGTCTGAGAGCCTGCCATAGGGCTCTCCTCAGGTTTGAACTGAAATCCAGCCAGAGCCGAACACAGCCAGCACAGCACCTGCGATGCCTCCGTCGCCTACCACACACGTCTTGAGGCTTAGATAGAGAAACGCAGAGGCTAAGGGGCTGCAATGGTGTCAAAGCACGGGCAGAGTCTTTAATATGAAAAAAAAAAAAGGCTGGTTTTGGGAAGGCTTGATGCTGTCATTGGTGGAAAAGCTACACCATCAAGATTTTAAAAGAAGCCGCTGCTTTTGAAGGAGGAGTCAGACTTTGATTAGCTGCTGTTGAAAATTTTGAAAACGTTGAGAGCATTGTATTCTCCTCAGCAATGTTTCTGGAGTAATGATAGGAGCGTTCCTGGGTTTCCGTAGCAAAATAATCCACCGAGCCTTCCCGCTTCTTCCCCATAAAGGTTGAAGAAACAGAGAGTTTTGACAAGCAAAAGCAAGAATGAAAGGTCTGGGGGAGAATAAGTGAAAGGCATAAAGATGAGAAGGATAAAAGAAATCCTGAAGGGAGAAGTATTATACTGAAGATGGTGGCAGATGGGGGAAAAGAGAAGTCTCTTGAATAGAAAGATGAAAAAAATAAGATAATGATCTGAGAAGAAGATGTAAAACTGAAATGTATAAAGCTCCGCAAACAGAAAACAAAATGGGGGGAAAGGAGTGCACTTCAGAGGTTCAGAGCAGAATAAAAGAAGTGGGGAAGAAAAGAAAATCATTGGGGATGTAACATGCTAATGTTTTAGTATTTTTAAAAGGTACCAGCTTAGACCAAACTACACAACAGTTTTAATGTGAGATTGACGATACTATGTATCTGTTCTCCAGAGTCCTTGCTTTTTTAACGTGTAAGAACAACTAGTTTCATTTTACTGGGTCACATTTATTTTCCCACAGTACTGCAAGGAAAATGGTGTATCCTACTGTGGGGAACCAATTAATGAGCGTCACAGCTCCTGATGGCCTCTGGGCTGGTCGCTGTGGCCACTTCACCATAGGAGCCATCAACCTGAGGCCCCTTCTAGCGAGCCCTGGTGTTGCCCAAGGTGCGAAGCAGTGCTGTGGCATCTGGAGCACAGGGCTCTATAAAGGCCGTCCTTTGCTCCTCCAGTCATTATTATTTCACTGGCTTAATTTGACAGTGAGATCTCCGATCTCTGTGTGCCTTGAAAAGGACTTTTTTGCCATCCACTCATTCACAGTCACGCCTTCAGGTTGCCTCTTTGCGCCAACTGCTCATACTGCCAAGAACTTGCCACTTTGAAAGGAGAAAATGCCTCCCTGAGAAGGAAATTGGATTTTCACAGCTTTCCAGCACCTGGGAGCTCTTTGAAAATAACAATATAGGTAATTCTCTGTTTTGATTTTGCATACAGTGTGCTGGAAACCATTGGGGGATTTTTTGTATACGATGTACCCTAACAAAGAAAACTTTTTAAAATTACCAGAAGACTGCTTGGAAAATTCCTGAAGAATCTGATCTGCTGTGCGTGCACAAAGAGTGGCCCAGGGGGACGAATGATCCTTGCTAACGATAGGGGAAATTGAAGCTGGAAACCCAGAATGTACAGGCACCATCCATGTTGTTCTTGTGCTTAGGGTGTCTGTTAACCCTAAGGATCTGCATTGCGTCATACAGTCTTCCTGATGGAAAGATATAGTTAAAAACAAAATAAAATAGAACAAACAAACAACTCTACTCTGAGAATTAGGCTCTGCTGATATTGTCTTTTCTGTTATATAAATGGAGGTGACAAGCAGCAGTATTTTGTGATCCTGAAAAGTTTCACCTTTTTATGATTATTAATCTCAAAATACGTTTCCCATAGAGTCACTGGAATACAAACATCTTTATTTTGTTTTTAGCCAGGTCTTTGCTATGAAGGAAGTGACACTTGATATCACCTATTCATTATTTAGCTGCCAGCCTTACAGCTAGCAAGTGATACCAGCACTACAAGCGTTTCCCCAAAGCAGCACCTCATTAAGAGGTCCAGCCTGGCCCTGGCCTCCCCTCCCCGTGGCACACTGTGTCCCGGGTGGGTGCTCTCCTCCCTGAGCCACTTGGGCTCGTCCCCCCATGGCCGCAGCACATGGGCCGGGTGCTGAGGCCTCTGCGCTCCTACTACTCCCACTTTCTCACGGTCCTCACCGGGGGCTCCAGAGATACCTCTCCAGTCTTGCTGGCTTTTGAGGGACCTGAGCAAGGACCTCTTCCTGACCACCCCTTCAGCAGTGCTATCACAAAGTGGCTGTGAGGAAGCGTATCAAGCACCGGCAATGCTTGGGTGCCCAGCATGGGCTCGTGCCTTGGTGCTGGTGTTGGTCACTGGCATATCTGAAGGCCAGAGGGCAAGTCTGTGCCATTCCCGCTTGTGTGGAGCAGCAGGCACTTCAGAGAAGGCTAACAATGCTACCACGTTTGGAGCGGGTGGTAACTGTTAATATTCTCCTGACAACCAGGAAGAGTGAGTTTATCATCGGTTATATCGGTTGTTAATTTTGTAAATATTAACAATTTCTAGGATTATGGCACAGGATGTGAGCTGTCAACTTGCTTTATTTTCCTCCTACTCCTTGCAAGTGACACATGCTTTATATGCTAGGAGCTGTGCCATGTGTTTGCTGCCTTGCACTGACACTGGGGCTGGCAGATGTTCTGGGAAGAAACTATTATAACATCCCAAAAGTTAGATTTTCTTCCCCTACTGCATTCCCTGTTGCCTCTGATCTAAGGTGAATTGCCTATAAAGCAAAATGATTTATAAATGTCTGTGTTTGGTGTCTGTTCGATGCTGCCTGTGAAACCGCTGCCTTTCACGCAGCTGAACACCTGCCTCTCCTTCCAGCTCACCTGGCTGAGCAGTGCACAGGTGATACTGCTACCAGTTCCCCTTGTAAGCAGAACTAAATTACAGCTAGCGAGGAACAATTTCCCTATTGTGAAAAATCTAGGCCCTTAAAATTAACATTTTTACACTGTCTCTCAAGAGCAAAATTTTAACCATATTTTTAGATCCAGCAATACAGTAATCACACGAATGCATGCGTGCGCCCAGCCACGGTAGTCACCCCTGCAGCTTCATCGGCACGTTCAGAGCCAGCTTTAGCACTGGCACCGACACGAGGAACGATCAGAAGGAAAAGCGCAGGAGAAAGCTGCTTCCAGCCTGGCTAAAAGCATGGGCAGGCTCCTCACCCAGGTTTGTTATTGCTCTGAAGAACCTCTCTGCCCCTCGGCTGTTCGCAAGTGCTCAGGCTCTCCCCCACATCAGCGGCAGCTTGAGTTATTCGTGCCTGTGGATAACGACACGTATGCACTGGACAACTTACTC